TCTGGTTGGTTTCTTTTGCTTTGAAGAAAGTTTTCAGTTAATGAGGTTCCATTTGTCTATCCTACCTCTTATGGCATGGGCTTTTGGGGATTTGATCAGGAATTTGTTCCCTTTTCGATTTCCATAACAGAATCTCCTGCATTTTCTAAGATTCTTATAGTTTGAGGTTTTATGATTAGATCTTTGAGCTATTTAGAGTTGGTTTTTGTGTATGGTGATAAGCAGGAGTCATGTTTCAATCTTCTGCGTGTGGTCAGTGAATTTTTCCAGCACCATTTACTGAATAGGTTCTCCTCTCCCAGTGGTTGTTGGTGAAGACTTTGCCGAGGATGAGTTGATTGAGAAATTGAGGTTTTGCTTCCAGAATCTCTATTCTATTTCCATTGGTCCGTATGCCTGTTCTTGTACTAATACCAGGCTATTTTGAATATTGTAATCTTATAGTAAAGTTTAAAGTCTGTAAGTGTGATACCTCCTGTTTTGTTTCTTTTGCTAAGGATTGTTTTGGCTATTCATGTTTGTTTATGATTCCATATTAATTTCTGTATTGTTGTTTCCAGATGTGAGAAGAATGATGTAGATAATTGAATATTACATTGAATCTGTAGATTGCTTTGGGTAGGATGAACTTATTAACAATGTTGATTCTTCCTATCCATGAGCATGGAATTTTTTTCCATTTGCTTGTGTCATCTTTGACTGTGAGCAGTGTTTTGTAGTTTTCATTGTAAAGATCTTTTACTTCTCTAGTTAGGAAGATGTTGAGGCATTTCATTTTTTTGGTGGCTGTTGTGAATGGGATTATGCTTTTTATTTGGTTCTCTGCCTGTTTGTTGTTGGCGTAAAAGAATGTGACTGCCTTTTGCATATTTATTTTATACCCTAAGACTTTGCCAAAGCCTTTTATTAGTGCAAGGAGGTTATTGACAGATTCTCTTGGATTTTCGATGTATAGGATTATATTATCAGCAAAGAAGGGTAACTTGACTTCTTCTTTTCCTATTTGGATACCCCTGATTTCCTACTCTTGTCTGATTGCTCTAGCTAGGACTTCCAACACTATGTTGTAACAGGAGGGGTGAGAGTGGGGAGCTTTGCCTTGTTCTGGTTTTCAGGGGACATGCTTCCAATTTCTGTCCATTAGCAATATGTTAGCTGTAGGTTTATCATAGATGGCTCTTACTATTTTGAGCTATGTTCCCTCTATGCCTAGGTATTCAAGGATTTTTTTCAAGAAGGGATGCTGGATTTTATTGAAAGTTTTTTCTGCATCTAATGATATAATCATGTGGTTCTTATTTTTACATCTGTTAATGTATTTAAGTACATGTATGGTCTTGCAGATGTTGAACCAACTTTGCATCTCAGGGATGAGGCCTACTTGGTCATGGTGGATGATTTTTGAGATGTGTTATTGGATCTGAATCCAATAACAAGCTAGAATCTTGTTGAAAATTTTTGCATCTATGTTTATCAGGGATATTGGCCTGTAGTTCTCTTTCTTTGTTGGATCTTTACCCAGTTTGGGTATCAGTGTGATGTTAGCTTCATAAAATGATTAGAGGAGAGTTCTGTCTTTCTCAATTGCCTGGAATACTTTCAATAGGATTGATATTGACTCCTCCTTGTATGTTTTATAGAATTCTGCTGGAAATCCATCTGGTCCAGGGCTTCTTTTTGTAGCTAGTTTTCTTAAGACAGAGTCATTTTCCTGGGCTGTTATTGTTATGTTTAGGATCTCAGTATCTTCTTGTTTCTACCTTGGGAGGTTGTAGGATGTCAGAAAGTCCTCCATTTCTTCTAGGTTATCAAGTTTGTTTCCATACAGGTATACATAGTAATCTCTGTTAATCATTTGTTATTTCTTCGGGGTTAGTTGTAACTTGATCTTATGCATTTCTGATTGTATTTATTTTGCTTTTTCTCTCTTTTTCTTGGTCATTCTGGCTAGGGGTTCATCAATTTTATTTATCCTTTCCAGCTTTTTGTTTCATTAATATTTTTCTATGGTATATTTGTCTTCTATGTCCCATTTTTGGGTTTTTACTTTGATGATCTGGATTCTTCTGCTGAAGTTAGAGTTTTGGTGGTCTTGACTTTTCACCTCCCTTAGGTGATTTGCTAGGCTGTTAACTTGTACTCTTTCTATATTCTTGATGTGTGTTTGTAAAGATATAAATTCCCCTCTTAGTACTTTTTTTTATGGCATTCCAGAGGTTTTGGTAAGCTGTATTTGTTATCATTTGTTTCCAGGAATCTCTTAATTTCTGTTTTGATTTCTGTGTTGACCCAGGAGTTGTTCAGCATCATGCTGTTTAGTATCCATATGTTTGTGGGTTTTGGGAAAATTTTGTTGGTGGTGATAATTAATTTTATTCTGCTGTGGTCTGAGAAGGTGCATGGCAGTATTTCAATCTTGCTAAATTTGTTTATGCTTGATTTATGACTGGAATGTGGTTGATCTTGGAGTATGTTCAGTGTGGTGATAAGTAGAATGTATATTCCATGGTTATTGGATGGAGTTCTCTGTAGGTATCTATTAAGTCCATTTGGTCAAGCATCATATTGAGGTCCCGGATCTCCTTGTTGATTTTTTTGCCTTGATGATCTAGGGTTGTTAGTGGGGTATTTAGGTCCCTGGCTATGATAGTGCTAGAGTAATATCTTTTTTTAGTTTTCCTAGTAGCTGCTTTATGAAAGCTGTTGTTCCTGTGTTGGGTGCATATATTTTTAGGATGGATATTTCTTGTTGATGGATTGAACTTTTTATCATTATGCAGTGTCCCTCTGTATCTTTTTAAAGTATTGATAACGTAAATGTTGTTTAGTCTGATATTAAGATTGCGACTCCTGTCTTCTTTTGTGACCCATTTGTCTGAAAACTTGTTTTTCATCCTCTAACTTTAAGTCTGTGAGCAACTTTTGTTGTGAGTTGTGTTTCCAGAGACAGTAAATTGAGTTCCAAAGTCTGTGTTCTCAGTGCTGTCTTCCCAGGAGTCTGGAGGGTACCTGTGTTCTTCCTTTGGTTTTTCTCCATTTGTGATGGTTCCTCCTGCTTTATCCCCCCTCTTTAATTCTGTTGCTCAGTGATGGGGGGATAACTTTCACTTGTGTTTGCTCAATCTCCTGTTCTTCCTTATGTAGATCCTCTGGATTTGTTCAATTTTGAAGTTGGACTGGGGGCGGGGGCAGTGGGACACTGTGCCCAACTCGACTGCTGCTAGGTCTCTCACTCCTACTACAAGTGTCCATGCTTGATCCAATGTCAGGGGTGGGGCTTCTGTCTCTCTAGTGTGGTGCACCTGGAGTATCCTCCCTGGGCAAATGATGGTGATCCCAGAGGATCACCATCCCAGTTTGGGTATCAGTGTGATGTTAGCTTCATAAAATGATTAGAGGAGAGTACAGAGCTTGCTGAATGATGTCTGCCTAGAATCGAGGGACCTAGAAAAGGTCCCTTCCAGGCTTGAGACAGAGGAAATTGTGTCAAAATGGCATCCACTGATGCCTTATCCTCTGTGATTTCTGAGTTGACCCAGGAGTTGTTCAGCATCATGCTGTTTAGTGTCCATGTGTTTGTGGGTTTTGGGGAAATTTTGTTGGTGGTGATATTTAATTTTATTCTGCTGTGTTCTGAGAAGGTACATGGCAGAGCTTAGCTTCAGATCTCTTTCCTGAGTCTTCTCTGTGGTCCCCACTGTCAGTGCCCAGCCATTGTCTCAGGTGGTGGTATGAGCTGGGTGCCAGGTGTCAAGAGGCTGCTGATCTCTGCTGCCTTTTCTGGAGAGATGCCCTGGGAATGGCGGATTTTTTTGTGTACCACAGAGCAGCAATTTGTGGCTGCTTCTGCAGGGGGACCTTGGGTACTGGGTCCCATTTCTCCCCTCAGTTGGAAATTCACTTACCTGCTTGCACACACAGATGGATCCAGATTAGTCTTTATACTCACTCACCCATGTAGAGATGCTCACACTCCGATCAGTTCCATTACCATCTTGCCTCATCCCCTCTGTTTCTGTTTAATGCCCAGTCCCTGGACCTAGACTTTGCCCCAAATCCTGCCTAATACTGACTGGGATGGGTGCGCTGATTCTGAGCATCCCACCTGGCCTGTTACAGCCCAGATCTGCCTTTTGCTCTGACCAGATGGACACTGTTGGCCGTCATCAGAATTGGATGGTATCAGAAACCATGCTGGCATTAATCTGAGAAAGACATAGGCAGTAGCGACAGGGATAGGCTCATCATAGGGGCTGTTTTAGAGGCAGCATGCCTGCGGCTGTGTATTTTAGAAGTCACTATGGTTGAGTTTCCTAGAAGCCAGCCTGACTTAGGAGAATAATGGCACTAATAACAAGTGAGAGAACCTCCTGGCCTGGCCAACTCGGGGAACAACCTCTAGCAGAATTCCCCACTGATCTGAGGCTGACCACTAGATTAGAGTGATCAGAGGTCAACCCAGTCAACTTCAGTAGCTTCTGCTACCCAGAAATGCAGCCCATAGTCCTGCTCGGACCTGGCATGTGCACACCACTGAGCATACCTCTGTGCACAGCAGATGGGGCTGGGGTCTGTGGTCTTTGCTTTGTCCTTATCACCTGCCAGTGAGAAGCCAGTATCTCTGCTCCATTCAGTCCCCTGTCACAAAGGACCTTTGCTTGACTCCCTGGAGGGAACGCCATTGCTTCTAGAGCAGTGCTTACCCTGGAAGGGGTCTTGTCCTGAGTGGTTTTCCTGTATCCTGTAATAAACATGGAAACCAAAAAAAACAAGAGCTATTTCACTGGGGTAAAACAAGGCAGATCCCCAGTCTCTCTAGCCTGCTTCATAGCATTGAGCTTTTGAACACTTCAGTTGCCTCGTTTGTCAGGCTGATATAATCATTTATGATATGCATAAGGAGATAAGTAGGCTGAGGGTACACATTCTTCATTGAATCTTGGCATTCAGATGTGAGTTTGCAAAGCCCTGACTTGGCTTGTGCTGCTTCCTTTGCATGGATGTCGAGGGCTGTGCTCATGGTGTCATTGTTAATTTCATCAGGACTAATGGAAGTAGTGGCCCAGGACAAGGGACAGCCATGGGAGAAAGCACCTGAGCACAGAAAGACCACTCGTAGAAGTGAGGCTTAGAGGACCACCAGACTGTTCTGGCTGCCCAGGCTGTGGAGGCAGGAAGGGGCAGGCTCTTGGTGACAAGGCTTTCCCCTAAAGATGTGAGGATATAGAATGTCTTTAGTGAAAAGTTGTGCAGAGCTGGGCCCACCTATCTAAACCCATACCACATGCCAGGACGCTCTCGGGTTGCATCTCCGTAAATAATAGAAAATGCCATGAATGACCAAGTATGCACTTGGGTTTCTGTGATACTTATTCTTCTTACTTTCAAATTTATTTTTGTGTGGTAAGAATTAACATTCTGTCTTTGTCTTGGCATTCCTGTTCAAGTAATGACTGGTCTAGTGCTGTCGAGCCCTTTTATGATCTGGAGAGAAGCCCTGAGGAGAGGAAGGTGGCATCTTGATCTTGGCTTAGTGCATTGTGACCTAAAGTAATAAGCACCTTATTTCTTGGGACCTCAGTTTCCCTAGCTATAAGATTAGAATAACAGCACATATACCATCTACCTCTCAGGAAGTCAGAGGGATGATGACCCATTTGAAAGGGCATTGGGATATCGTAGGCAACTCTAAACTCTACAAGTATAAGGAGTAACGATCAACCTGGGCTTGAAACACTGTATTGTTCTTTTAAAAAAAAAAATACTTTTTCTGGAATTTGTTACATGGACATATTGTATAGTGAACACTGTGCTCCATAGGTAGTTTCTGAGCCCTAACCCCCTCATTGGTGTCCCCAGTGTCTATTATTTCCATCTTTGCGACCGTTTAGCTCCTACATATGAGTGCATGCATGTGGAAAGCACCTCTACTGTTTGCTAACATTGTGACCAGTGGGTTCTCAGAACCCTATTTTCTCATCTCTCTGGTAGGGGATAATGATACCTTCATCACAACAGGACTGTTGGGCTGCTCTGAGTTAAGATGATGTGTATACAACACCTAACACAGTGCCTGCCACATAGAACACAAACCCGGACAGTGGCTGCTGCTATAATGACTATAATTATCATAATGATCATCATCAACATATATTTGAATATAGATATTTCTGCCAGGTAGACCTGTTTTTTTGTGGAATTCCCTTCTCTTCTCTGTTACTGCAATGATTCTCAGTACTTCCTGCAGCCTGGATGAAAAGCATTTCCTAGAGCCCTATGGCTCATGCTCTGCATTTTACTTCATTTGCATTACTCAGAGTTCTCCAGAGAAACAGAACCAACAAGATGTGTGTGTGTGTGTGTGTGTGTGTGTGTGTGTTTGTGTAGAAAGAGAGAAGTTCCAGTCTCATGATCTGCCATCTGCAAGCTGGGAGACCAGGAAAGCTCGTGGCATGAATTCAGTCTGAGTCCAAAGGTCTGAGAACCAGGGGAGCCTAAGGTGTGAGTCTTGGTATAAGCCCGAAGGCCTGAGAATCAGAGGCACCAATGTTTGAGGGCAGGAGAGGCTGGCTGTCCCACCCCAAACAGAGACAGCAAATTCATGCTTCTTCTGCCTTTTTGTTTTGTTCGGGTAGATTGCCCACGTTGGTGAGGGTGGATTGTCTTCACCCAGTCTACTAATTCAAATGCCAGTTTCCTCCAGAAATGCCCTCACAGACACACCCAGAAATAACAGTTTAGCAACTATCTGTGTGTCTTTCAGCCCAGTCAAGATGATACATACAATAATCCATCACCACATTCTGTGGTTGTGGAGAGATGTTACTTTGAGCTGGATATGCCTATTCCACTCACATGTGCCAGTCAGGAAGCCTGCCTAATCATTTGAGTGGGAACTTAGGATCTTCTGATAGCAAACTTCCAGCTTTCCTTTGCCTGAAGTCTTGAAAGAAGTGTGCAGACAGACATGTTATGATTCCTGCTTTTCTAACCTGGAAAGGCGCATGAAGGGTGTTGTGCTAATTAGCATGCTGTCTCCCTCGCAAAGTGCCTTTGTGCTGTCTGTCAGCTTCTGCTCAGTAGATACTAAACACTGTTAAGGCAAATGATATCATGACTGACAACTTAATAGATGTCTTTTTGAGCTGAATGTGCTCCCCAGTGCTCCAGCCAGATAAAATTAACAGAAACCTTCAAGATCATCCTTTCCAGGCTGAGGCTTCTGAGTGAGATGTGCTAGCGAGAGCCTTCCGAATCACGTGAAAGGCATCAGATTCATTCAAATGGAAGATTAGGGGTTTGGATGTTTGTCAACAGTAATCACAGAAGGACTGAACTTCCAACTATTTCTGATGACAGGTAAAAATTATGACGGGTGGAGGCAAATGTGACTTCTGTTCATGTGAGTGGACCTCCAAATGAAGGTTGATGTTCAAAGTGTCCCATTAGGAGATTGTGCACTTACTCTAGTTAAAGTACCAAAATGCCTTAAAATAAAAATAAAAATAAAGATTGCTTGTTTACAGGGCTCAAAAACCCAAAAAATGCAGATTAGACTCAAAGTGCTCTTTGGTCTGGAATCCTCTTCACACCTCCAGTGCATGCCACCTCGCATCTGGAATCCAGGTGAGACTGAACCATTTCTATTCACCCAACAGGCTGCATACCCTCCTACTTCTGGGCCTTTGCATGTGACTTTTCTCCTGCCTGAAACAAATTCCTCTTCTTTGGGACCTTGATGACTCCCTGTTACTTTTGAAGAGTCATATCAACTCAGATCTTCAGTGAAAGTGGCTCACACCTCTGATTTCCCTCAGAAGACCATTGTCTACACCTTTGTTGCCACTTATTCACTCCTTGGTAGTTGTACCATCTTGGGAGTTGGTTAAGGATCATCTCTCATACTGTGATTTCTTTTAGATCAGAGGACATGTCTTTACTAAACCCTCTGTAACTAGGCTTTGATCACAGCACCTGACACATGGTGTCACCTCAGTAAATATTTATCCAGTGACCGTGGATAGCTATGGATAGGAAACATGAGAGAGTTGGTAGAGTTTGGGTTATATCCTCAGAAATCTCTGATTTCAATCCCCTTCTCTGACCCATAGGAGTAGAGAAGTCTGGGGAAATCCTTAACATCTTTGAGCCTGATGTGGCACATCTGGGCATTTGCTGGGAGGACTATAGCTTCCCAAGGCAGTTCTCGGAGATAAACTCCCCAAATGTTATAAGCAAGACTGAATCACTGGGATAAGGAAATTCTCAAAGGCTTCCTTAGAGGAAATCTCTCAGCAGCCTCGGCAGACAATGGTGTGTGGTGGGAAACACAGCTTTGCTTTCTGCTCTCTGAGACTCCTTTTCAAGCAGTGCCCCACCCAGGGCTACCACTGCCCCAGCCTAAGGACCCTAATGGCAAATTTGAACACATTTCCAGCTTCATCTGCATGCTTTGCTCAGCCTTCTGCAATTTAGCAAATTCTGGGCAAGATTCCAACACCTCTTCCAAGCACAGGAGGGCTTCTTGGGTTCAAACAATATAATTCCTGGAGCCAGCAGAACGATCTTCTTGATACATCCCACCCATGTGGGACAGATGGAGTTACAGAACACTCTGCCTGATGAAAATCGTTGCCCATGAGTGAGATTGCCTAGCCCGTGTGATGGTCTGTTTCAAAACACTTTTCCACAAGAAGCCTGCCTTGTTTCTGGGAGTTAGTTGAATGGGCTTGGACATAGCATGACAAAATGCTTGGAGCCATGTGCAGATTCTCAGAAGACCTTTTCCCAGGACACCCTGAGCCCACCTGGCTCCCTCTCACTGGCTCCCTGCCATTCCCACTGGTTTAGGAAGCCTGCTGTAAAAATATGTATAAAGGGGCACAGAATTCATTATAGAGATGAAAATCAACAAAACTGGAAACAAGTGGAATTTAATAAGTTCAACTAAGCATAAAATAACTTACAATAGCTGGGATGCCTTAAAATTGCTGAACACACAATAAGGGAGGAGGAATGTAACTGGAGTTAAAAATGCAGTGTGCAACACTGGTTGTTTTTATTAGGAAAGGGATATTATAGAAATGGTAAGAGCTCAGCAAAGCGTTGTTAGGCTGTTACTGAAAAGTAGAAGGCCTAGATGTCTCAGATAAAACAAGAGAGAAAACTGGGCATGCAGAGACATGAACTGAAAGGGATCTGTGGAGTAGGAAGTACCCTGGGGACACATGTGGAGTCCCTCCCTTCTCAAAGGCTGCTTGAGGTTTCACTAAATAAAGCAGGTAGGTAATTCAGAGAAAGCTCAATTGGGGGAAAGGAGCACTCAAAAAAATCGTGTTGCACTTAACACATGGTGTCACCTCAGTAAATATTTTAGCTCTTAATCCAAAAGAGTGATGGTGTGGGGTATAAAAGGGTTTCCATGTGCTGAGATAGACCTGTGAGGAAGACATATTTGGTCCTTTGGGCTATTCATGTCAGTCAAGAATCAGAGACTTCAGTCACCATGCCAGCATCCTCTCCCTCCCACACCACCTCCTCCCATCACTCCAGCAATAGGGCTACTTGATGTGAGGTATTGTTCTGACATAGACCGTTTCCCCCATACCTGGCTTCTTCCTGCCCCCTCCCTCAAACCTCTGGCCAAGACTGATCTCTGAAGAGTATGCATATTCCCAGTAATAAGTCACGGGGCGCAGATGGCCAAGCAAAGCTGAAAACAATGTAGTTGTTATGCTTAATCAATGTAATTGTGCACACCAGATAGGAATTTGAATGATCTTCTTAGTTGCTTTTGAATGGTTATAACAACCAAGGCATGGATTCTTCACTGACTGGCCACCATTGGTGATTCCCATAAGTTTTGGTAAACCAATGTCTTGCCTTGCTGGACCTCCAGGTGACTTCTTTGGAATAGATGAACATTACACACAAGCTCTGTTAGATTTTGGGTTACCATTTGCACCTGGGAACACAACCCGTTCCCAGTCATCCTTGCATTAATTCATTGACAATGATTAGTACATATTCAGTGCTAAACTCTGTTTTGAGTGCTGGATATACAGAAACAATGTAAGCACCTGGCACTATGAAAAGAACATGTGGCTATCAATCTGTTGAGC